TACTACTACTACTACTACTACGACTACTACTACTACTACGACGACGACTACTACGACTACTACGATTACTACTACTACTACTATACTACCACTACTACTACTACTACTACTACTACTACTACTACTACTACTACTACTACTACTACTACTACTACTACTACTACTACTACCACTACTACTACTACTGCTGCTGCTGCTGCTGCTGCTGCTACTACCACTACCACTACCACTACCACTAGCACTAGCACTAGCACTAGCACTAGCACTAGCACTAGCACTAGCACTAGCACTAGCACTAGCACTAGCACTAGCACTACGACTACGACTACGACGACGACGACGACTACTACTACTACTGCTTCGCCCCCTCCTCCTCCTGCTCCTGCTCCTCCTGCTCCTCCTGCTGCTCCTCCTGCTCCTCCTGCTCCCTTTTCCGCCCTCTTCCTCCTCCTCCTCCTCCTTCTTCGGCTCCTCGTCCTCCTTGTCCTTCGCCTCCTCATCCTCCTTCTCCTTCTCCTTCTCCTCTTCTTCCTCCTCCTGCTCCCATCCTTCGTCCTCCAGCCCTTCCTCCGGCGTATCCTTGCCCCCTTCCCCTCCCGCATCCCCTTTTTACTTCTTCCGCTCGCCCAACCCCCTCCTCCCACTCCTCCACCCCCTCATCCCTCTCCCGCTCTCCTCTCCCCTCCCCGTCCCCTCCTGGGGCCAGGCAAGGGGGCCATCGCCAGTGTCCCAGAAACGCGGCACTCGCATCAGCAAGGTGCCGCCGCACTATTTTGGCTGCGCCCCCACCCGCGCTGCAGCTGCTCCACGGCCGCCTGGCCGCTATAGCCTAGCTGCGGCGGGCGCTCAGCGGTGGTGGGGCCACAGGAGGGCGCCGACTGCACACCACGCCACGCCTGGCCAGGCTCAGGGCGGGCCTGGCACGGGACGGAGCCTTGTGTTGCGGTCGGCGCCCTCCAAGGCCAGAGCCCGCCAGCGAGAGGCCGACGGAGAAGGGGCGCATGGGCCACCGCCGCCCCCATCGGAGGCGAGACGCAGCACAGCTGGGCGACGGAGCGGCGCCCGCGCGGCACCAGAGGGCTGGCACTCGTTGCCGCAGCAGCGCCTCGGGCTCGGGGCCAGGGGAGCACGCACCCAGGAGATCGTCGGAGCAAGGTGAGTTGAGACAGCGGCGCTTGCCATCGCTCGGGCGTCCAATCTGCTTCGTGCGATTTTTTGTTTCATAAATCCTGTCGCACCGTGATCCCAAATGCCCCTCGATGGTCTTCGCCGAAGAAAACATGCACACGTCCAAGCGATGCCCAGGGCAACTCGATGACCCCATCCTGGGGTCCACACGCACCAGCTTTCCGAGCTGCGTCTAGCCTCTGGCGGCGAGGGGCTCACCCGAAGGCCAACTGCCGCTATCTCAACTCGCCCTCCTCTGAGAGGTGGCTCGGACCCAGGGCGCCCACCCCGCCAGCGGCGCCGCGAGGTTCGCCGTGCTCGTGGCATCGTGGACCGCCCACCCCGCGTGGGCGCGAACGTCCAGCCGCGCGCTGGCCCGAGGTCGGCTCAGACCCAGGGCGCCCACCCCGCGAACGGCGCCGCGAGGTTCGCCGTGCTCGTGGCCTCGCGGATCGCCCACCCCACGTGGGCGCAGACGTCCAGCCGCGCGCCGGAGTCGTGCTCCCCGCGCAGCTTGCCGTTCACGACCTGCAGCGCACGCCTGCAGCGGGGGGCGACGCCGGCCGACCGCCTCGAAGTGAGCCCGGGGCTGGGCCCACTCGGAGCCCGAGGCAGCTGCGAAGCATCGCCAAACATCGGGGCGGAGGTTTGCCGCCGCGTTCGGCCTCTGGGGGCCCTCGCCGGGGCCCGGGGAGGTAAAGGAGCGGCTCAGGATGCAGAGGCGGGCGCGGGGAAAGGGCCGAGACTCCTGGGGGCCCCGCATGGAAGGAAGCAATGCATCGGATCTATGCCATCCTGGCTCGGTGGATCTATGCCCACCTGGCCTGGCCAGGCAGGGCGCGGGACACTGGTCCTGGGCCCTGGATGGGTCTGGCCAGGATCGCTCCCCGAACCGGGGGGGAGGAGGAGAAGGAGGAGTAGGAGGAGGAGGATAACAGATGATGATGATGATGATGATGATGATGATGATGATGATGATGATGATGATGATGATGATGATGATGATGATGATGATGATGATCAAGATGAGGATGATCAAGATGAGGATGTTGATGATGATGATGCTAATGATGATGCTGATGATGATGACGACGACGACGATGATGATGATGATGATGATGATGATGATGATGATGCTGATGCTGATACTGATGCTGGTGCTGATGCTGCTGCTGATGATGATGCTGAGACTGATGCTGAGACTGATGCTGATGCTGATGCTGCTGATGATGATGCTAATACTGATGCTGGTGCTGATGCTGCTGATGCTGCTGATGCTGCTGATGCTGATGATGATGATGTTGTTGCTGATGCTGATGCTGCTGCTGCTGCTGATGCTGATGCTGATGCTGATGCTGCTGCTGCTGCTGATGAGGAGGAGGAGGAGGAGGAGGAGGAGGAGGAGGAGGAGGAAGAGTACGAGGATGAGGATGCTGCTGCTGAGGAGGAGGAGGAGGAGGAGGAGGAGGAGGAGGAGGAGGAGGAAGGGGCGGACAATGACAACGTTGACCTTCGACCCCCATGCCGTAAGCTCTCAGCTCAGGAGGCGGAGGAAAAGGAGGATGAGGAGTACATATGAGGAGGAAGAGGATGACAAGGAGAAGGAAGAGGAGGAGGACGAGGACAATGAGGTCATGGCAAAAAGAACACATACCCATACCGCTATTCCGTGGACTTCTTTCTCCTGGGGTGCGTTCTGAGCATAATTTCGGGGCGAATCCAGCCGTGGCGACGAGGAAGGGTAGCGGTATCGGGGCCGCCTCCTTCTCTGACGGCCAGCTGGTGCCCCCCGAGCAGAGCAGGGAGGAGGAGAGGGGAGGAGAAGGAGGACCAGTGCAAACCCAAGACGCGTCAACGATGGTGCAACGAATCCTCCCTCAAAGCTCCCTCTTCAAAGGCCCATTGGAACACAACCGCCTGAGAGTCCAACCGTCCTGAGACTTCAGCGCCGCGAATCAACGTGACTGTTGAGTCCTGATAGTCTTAAGTCGTGTCAGAAAATGTGCGCTGCGCTAGGGCGAGATCCACAATTTGGAAATCATTCGCTCTGCATTCCTGGAACTGATTTAAATTTTAAAGCGAATGTGCGCGGCGCCGAAGCGAGAAGAACATGTTGAAAGCCACCCACCCTCGCTCAATGAAGCGTTTGCGAACTAATACAGCGAATGCGCGCGGCGCTAAGGGGAGAAATGATGAAAACCACCCGCTCTGAGCCATTGAAACCTGTTGTACATGTTTAAGACGAGAGTGCGCGGTGCTAATGCGAGAAACACATTTTGAAAACGGCCCGCCCTCCATCTCGGAATCCGCCGATCCCCGCTTGTCGGGACTGAAAATTGTATGAAATATTTGGCTGTCCCCCTCCCCCTTCCCCTTCCCCTGGGGCCCAAAGTGCCATTCCAAGGGGGGGAGGGGGAGGGGGGAGGAGGGGGGGGGGGAGAGCGAGCTTATTTTCTGTGTGTGTGTGCCACTGTGTGGCTCGCGTTGTCTATTTTCAGGGGACGTAAGACCCGGGTACAGGGGACTCCGAAATCCCCGACGAGGTCGTCAAAAAATGACGAGGCCGAGCCTGCATTTTGACGAGGCCTCCCGCTGCAAACATCCCACGAAACTCCTACTCGTCAAAATCCGAATCGCGGTCGTCAAAAAACGATGGCGAACCCGAGTCCTGGCAAACCCGGGTCTTACGCTCCCCCGATATTTGGTCCATTCAAACTTTTCCTGTTTATAAATTCGTCCGTTTTATAACCTGTTTAAATTCACCCGGTTTTAACTCCCCCCTTTGAATTCATCCGGTTTTATTTAAATTCATCCGGTTTTACTTCGCCCCGTTTGAATTCATGCGGTTTTATTTACTCCCGTTCACATTCATCCGGTTATAATTCGCCCCGTTTGCATTCCTCCGGTTCTAATTCGCCCGGTTTAAATTCATCCGGTTTTAATTCGCCTGGTTTACATTCATCCGGTTTTACTTCGTCTGGTTTTAATTCGCCCGGTTTGAATTCATCCCGTTTTCATTCGCTCGGTGTACAAATCTCCCAGAGGGCGCCCCGTGTAGGAAACGGCGTGTGCGCCAAAACGCCTCAATTCTGAACTCGGAATCCAGCCGAAGTCGGAAACTAATTAAGGGGCTGGACTCGGGAACGCGGGAGCTGGAATCGGAATGACGGGCGCTGGATTCTGAAAGTTAGCAGCCGGAAACGGGAAACTGAGAGACGGAGCCAAGAGACGGGCGTCGGAGTCGGAAAATTCGGAGCTGAGCTCGGAGAGATGGGAACTGGGATCGGAAAGTTGGGTATCGGAATCGAAAAATTAGGAGATTGAGTCGGAGAGTTGGGAGCCGGAGTCGGAGAGATGGGAGCTGGAATCGGTTGGGAATCGGGGAATCGGGGAGACGGGCGTCGGAGTCGGAAAATTGGGGGCTGAACTCGGAGAGATGAGAGTTGGGGTCGGAAAGATGGGTGTCGGAGTCGAAAAATTAGGAGACTGAGTCGGAGAGATGGGAACCGGAAACAGAGAGATGGGAGCTGGAACCGGTTGGGAGCCGGAGTCTGGGAGACGAGCGCTGGAGTGGGAAAGTTCGGGGTTGGAGTCAGAAAATTGTGAGCGGAGGATGGGAGATGGGGAATTGGAAATAACAAAGAGGACCAAAATAAGCGCCAGTCTGAACGACGGGAACACAGCGCCGATGCGAGAAGGAGGCCCACGCTGTAGCGGCAACACCATTTTGAAACGCTGGAAACAATCGGATTGCACAACAATGCGTAAAACAACAACAATTGCTGCCATCCTCCGTGTAAAACACACTTGGCGGGGTGGGAGATCTTCCGCAAAATCTCCGTGGAGGCAGGAGAATAGCACCCATATTGTTTGACTGCGGAGGGAGGAAAGAGGAGGAGGAACAACCAGAAAAGGAAGAGAAGGAGGATGATGGGGAGCAGAGCGAGCACAAAGGCCAAAAACCTCTTGGCTGCCTCTCGGCGTCTCTTCGGATTTGTTCTTATGGTTTCGATTCGTCCGGTTTTCACTCGCCCGGTTTAAGTTCATCCTTTTTTACTTCGCGCGTGCATTGCCTATGCATTACGCGTGCGTCGGCGATGCGTCGGCGATTCGTTGCGATCTCCCGACCCCGTCAGCTAGAACCCCATGTGGGATGACCAGAACTGACAACGACACTCGTGTATTTCAAGCGGCTGAAGTGTCTGAGCTGAACAGCCCCGAAAACGTCGGTTCAAATTTGATCTTAAAGCACCCCCGCACAACATGCATCCCCGGACCCTTGGGAAGATCCTCGAAGCTAGAATAAACAGAAAACCTCTTCAAGTCCAATCCTGAATCTAAGCCGGGCGAATTAAAACCGGATGAATTCAAATAGGTGCGCGTGACAAGTGTTTCGAGCAATTGCGTTGCTCAATAATTGTTTTCGTTTTCTTTGGTCAAGTGGTTGTTGCGATTTACCAAATTTACGAGTCCAGCTCCCATTTCTCCGAGTTCAGCTCCCAATTTTCCGACTCCGACGCCCGTCTCTCTGACTCCGTCTCTCAATTTCCCGACTCCGGCTGCCAACTTTCAGAATCCAGCGCCCGTCAATCCTACCTTCCGACTTCGGCTGGGTTCCGAGATCAGGACTGCGGCGCCCTGGCGCACCAACCGTTCCTTACACAGGACGTTCTCTGGGCGACATCGGCGCCCCTCCGTTCCGCTCCGCTCCGGTCCGCTCTCCCCTGGTCCTCCAGTTCGTCCCGTTCCTTCCACCCCAGTTCCTGCTGCTGCTGCTGCTGCTGCTGCTGCTGCTGCTGCTGCTGCTGCTTCTCGTCTCGCTTCAGCGCGGGCCACGTTTCTCAATCCGAATTGTCTTCATCATTGTCGCTCCCCTCATTTCCCCTCCTCCCGCCTTTCCCTGGTCCTCTTATTCCACTCTATCCTTCCGCTTTTGTTACTGCTGCTGCTGTTCGTCCTCATCCTCCTCTTCCCGGTCATCCTCCTCCTCACCCGCCACCTCCCCCTCGTGGGCATGCAGTTTCCTTTTTTCCGATTGCGCACAGCACGGATATTCCCAGAAAGGGCGCGGGCCCAGTGTTCTTTTTCAATATTGTTTTGTTTCCCCCTGGTCTCGGCCGGCTAATTTTTTTTGCGATAGATAGCGAGGTGAAGTTCCATTCGGCGTGGACAATTTGAGGGTGTCCTCAGCGAGACGATGGTTTTTGAAATCCCGATCGATAAATCACAGGGTGCGGGACACATTAGGGTCAGGGGCACAAATCCATATGTTTTGACGCGTGTTCCTATAGATGGGCCCTCTCCAGGAGGCCCCAGGAGGTCCCAGGTCACCCAGAGGAGGTATCTAACATGGTTGTCCCGAGCTGGACCCACGTGCTTTCACTTGTCGAAGCTAGCCTGTGGGGTACCTAACATGATTGCCCCGAACTGGAACCCTGTGTTTTTCCTTACATAGGCTCTGCCTAGAAGGGTTCTTACTCTGTTTGCTTAAAGGGGCCGGGCAGTGTAAATCGCCCCCGGCGGTTCCCCCGGTCCCCTGGG